AAAAAATATATTTTTTCAGATTTTTTATTGAAAATGTAGCTAGTTTTACAACCAGTGACTAGATCATTGAATAAAGCACTAGTTCAAAATAATTAACATGTTTAAAGGGGACATATCATGCAAAATCCTTTTTTTTTTTTTTTTTTTTTTTTTTGCAGTTAAATGTATTTTGTTGTGTACTTGGAGTCTCCAGGAGTGCAGAAAAGTTGAATTTAGTTTCACTCTTTGCTGCGTTGATATCTTCCTACTCTTTTGGGGTCATATTTTTAACCCGTTCAGTTATCTCTATTTTCTAATGTTTTCTGAACAATTACATCACAGTAATTGCRACAGAACTGCCAAATAAAGTCTGGWCTTACCAACTACAATGATGTCTCTGGTTCCAACATGTAAGGCTGGATGGACAAGTCTGTAGTAAAATGTTTCTGTGCTGTTATACAGTCGTAAACCGCTCTATCAAACTAGAATGGACGGCTCTGGAAGCTGGAGGGKGGGCGGGGTGTGAAGCACCTTGTTTGGGTTTAAAGAGACAGCCTCAAAACGAGCTGATCTGAGACACACCTCAGTAAAGGGTTGAAACGGGATTGTGGAGTTACAATAAGGAGGAATTCAGAGCAAAGCATTGTAGTTCCACTTTATAAAGACCCCAAGTGAATGATTTAAATGTGAAAAAGAAAGATTTAAAAGCATATGTCTCCTTACAGACATATTTTTGCGGTCTTCCAGAAATCTTTACAATTTTCCCYAAAATGTCTCGTAATAAAATAATTACCCATATATATCTGCAGTTCTATGAAATCGTTCTTTTTCAGTTGTAATGCCATACACTTGTGGTAGTAAATTTCACGTTTCTTTGATTTTATAATTAATGGATGTGCATAATAAACTATCAGGTCGTTAGTGTTCGCTGTGACATGAATCACTTTTGAGAACAGTGTTGTTTTCTAGTAGAGAGGCCACAAAAAACTCAGCTGTACCGGAAACCTTTTTGATCATAGCGTTTCTTCCCCTCTGGACTTCACGCTCTTCACCCCCACATCTTCAATTTGCTCCACATCGTCCACATTTTCTTCCCTAAATCAGACATTATGGGTTAGAAAATGTCTATATTGTAATTATGTTGAACTTTTTCTTGGCTACGGCGTTCTCCTTTTTTTTTTCTTCAGTAAAGACTGCAGAAAGAGTTCAGAAAATTATGTAATGTAACATGAACAAACCACATAAAGTCCTTGGCTTTTGAGCAGCAGTGCTTTTCATAATTTTACCCTACAAATTGCGTGGGTACAAAGCCTCCTACCTGCTTTGTTTTTCATCTTCAGCACCGGAGTTGTTTGTTTCTGTGTCATCATTAGATCTGAACAACTCTCCAGCTTCTTCAACAAACTTCTCCTCTAACCCAACGTTTTGGAGTTTACTCCTGTAGTTCTGCTCTGCACTGGCCTTTGCATTTCTCTACCATTAAAAAAAATTAATTAGCATTAACACTGCATGTTGTAAAAATTATGTGCTGCTATAGATTTTTGGTTCCTACCTGTTTCACCTGTTCAAACAAATAAGGGCGTTGACTAATTCGGGCCTTCATCTCGTGCAGTTCCCTCATGTATTCTCTCATTCTCCTCTGATCAGTCTCCCTGCAAGCAAGAGACGATTTCAGTTACTGCAGCAGGTTGTTAATAAGTGAGATGACAGAATCGCAAAACCAAAAGGAACCAGAACTAACAGGTGGCGCTTTAGATTTTCATTAAGCACGTCTTTTAAGCTGCTGTGGGGGTCCAGGAACTTTGCGTGAAGAGCAACGGACTTCTTCATGGCTTGGGATCTCATCTGGTAGCTCCTCAACCAGTCTGCCGTTTCTTGATTCTTACTTTGCCTCAACTCCATGGAYTTCCTGTTAAGAGGAAACAAACACTTTGCGTGTCAGATCATTGTGTCGAAGTTAGACAAAGGAGAAAAAAGCTCTGCTGTTCACTGGTCAAAGGAAAACCTTGAAGCTCACCTGATGGCCATGTGGCGCTGCCTCACAGCGTCTGTGATGAACGTGGGGAGAGTGTCAGGGGGTATCAGCGTTAAAGCTCCAAGTGACCTGCTTCTGCTCACATGACTGAATATAGGCACCTTTATTAAAAACAGGAAAAAAAATCTAAATGTTAAAACAATGTATTTCTAAAATGTAAATTCTTTTTCTGAATAACATCTGTTAGTTTCAGAAACATCACTACTAGAAAAACTTCCTCAGAATGAATAAAAGTTTTTTTTTTTTGTTTGTTTGTTTTTAATCATCTGAAAAACAGAAAATGTGAAAATGTATAAAGCAGTTTAGAGAAATAAGTGATTTTCTCCTACTGGCTTGTTGCCCTCCAGGTTTCCTGTCGTTGTCTAAATGCAGTTTTGCTTAAATTTAGAAGATTTTGCCCCAAAATGTCTGACAATTCGCATAAAGAAAAACTTAGATGATTGGATAATTTTGGGCTGAGACCCAAAAATACATGAAAGCCTAACAGGAAGAAAGAAAGTTCCCTCTGCTATTTTTACTGGTGTAAATTACTGTTATTTCTACCCAATTACTGCTATGGTTATATTTACTCTTTAATACTCTCGTGTGAAACATTCAGTCAGACATACACACTCACACACACACAAAGCTACAAATCTCCTAAAAAAATATTTTGCTGTTTGAGCCACGCAATAAAAAAAATACATATCTGCATATAGGACTCTGGGGAAATGAGGCTTGAATCAAAAATTATAATGTGGAGATGACTGACATGTGACTGTTTTAGAAAGAGGAATATCCCGTCTTTGAAAGTGGATGACTGTACGTTTTCTAAATAGCATCACAGATCCACAACTGAGGGTACGAGACTGGACGACCTCAAAAAAAAATAAAGAAAGAACTTATAAGAACCTTAACCGTCCAATAAATCTTTTAGTCATAAAACAGTTTGCTCCAAAAGACAATAAAAGAAATGTAGAATGTGACCTGGTCAAACTCCTTTGCTACATTTCAGGAAAAACACTTGTAAAATTTGAGAGGCTGTAGGAAAATGTTATAATAATATGCTGGTATAGACTATAGGAGAGGAACATCTGCTTGTCAAATTTAAGGTTCAAATTTTTCAAAAACAAGTGCCTAGTTAGCCTCAATGTAAACAATTACATTATTTAAAATTATCATTTTACTGCCATATTCTTAAAGATTTTTTTTTTTTTACCTGTGAGGTTTCTGGGCTCTCCTTACTCTTCCTCACAGGTCGAGCTGACGTCCTCAAGAAAAAGGGTTGACACCTGGTCATGTCTTTACTTGGCATTTTGTTCAGGGCTGCTGTCTGCAGGGCCTTGTGCAGCCGGCTGAAGTCCGGCACCTTCTGGATGATTTTTGGTTGGAAGCTCGGCTTTTCGTCCAAGAACCCCAGCCTTTTCTTCCTGGTGAGATCGGCGGAGCGGATTTTGGGGCTYTGAGTCTGAGCTGAGTTTTCCTGCTGCATTGTCCCTCGAGTGTCAACCTTTCTACAAATCTCCTCCTTGTCTGTATATAAATACAGGTGAAGTACTGAGTTATGTTGCTGTGAATGGTGTGAAAGGGTTCATTAGGCTGTGATTTGTAAACAAATGGATGCCGGAACCAAAATTAATGAATYAAAAAAATAGTTCAAAAATAATAACACATAAAAACCTATGGCTATATAGCACTTTGTAGGCCAATCAAATACATTTACCATTCATACACATTCACACACTGATGGTGGTATGCTACAATGTAGCCACAGCCCTGGGGCTGACCACCACCAGCAGGCAAGGGGAGTGCACAATTGAACAAGAAACAAAAAACTGTCCAGTTACAGGACAACTCCACTAACCACTAATCCACRGCAGCCCTCAAATCTAAACTCAATGTCTTGTTAGCTACAGTGTTTTTGCTCCAACTTCTTCCATTCCAACTTATTTAAATTTTTATCTTTTAAATCTTCTAAACTTATATCAGCATTTTAACAAAACATGAAAAAAGTTGAACATTTAAAAGAAAAGTTTGAGGATCAACCTCTAAAATGTTTTTTTTTTATAAARCTCTTGTTTCAGAAGTCTTTTTAAAACAAACTCTTTCATCTGCATGGGTTAAATGTTTCTGTTTGTTGAGTTAATAACATTTTACAAAGATGTCACCATAAACTGAGTATCAGTCACAACCACATTAAACATGATTCTGTTGTAAATTTAACTAGACTGTAAAACAAAAATATAACATGACTAGACTGGTCTGGTAACAGCCAAATGAGATTTGAAGCAGCTAAAGAAAATGAGAGAGAGAGTTTCTACTCATCGGCACTAAATCCACCATATCTAAAGTCAACAGTTTTTCTCTCAACCATTGACAGCTCCTTGGTTTCTCCCTCCCCCCAGGTTAAGAGTCTTTGTTTTAAAGTTCAGCTGCCAGCGTTGTCACCAAACCCTCCTCATTTCATCACATCACTCCAGTCCTGCAACTGCACTGGCTGCCAGTCACATTCAGAATTCAATTTAAAATCTTCCTGTACACACTCGAGGCCATCCACAACCTCGCCCCTTCTTTTCTGTCTGATCTCCTGCACGTCCCCACCCATTCATGCTCCCTCCGTTCTTCCTCTCCCATCCACCACYCCGTGCCCCCTGTCCGCCTCAGTGCCATGGGAAAGAGAGCTCTTCCTCTAGACATCCGTTATATAGACTCTCTTCCGACCTTCAAATCCCAACTCAAAACTCGTCGGTTCAAGTTAGCCTTCTCACTTGTTCGAGTGTCTAAAAGATACGCATCTAAGAAAACAGGAACCAATTATAGCTCATACTACTAATACTTTTACTTTATACATTTTAATGGTCTGTTTGCAAGCATGTTTTCAAGGCCACAAAGCATCACAAACAATTAAAGCATTTTTGGCCTTCACATAATGTAAACCATCAGACTGAAACATTATTCTGWTATGAAAAAATAAGAACCCACCTTTTAATTCACTTGAGGTCTTGATGTACTTGTGTATTTTTGTACAAATACTGTTTTCAGGAACTTGTGGGACCTGGTTTAATGTTTTCATCAACTTCTCCTTTTTGTTTTTTTCCCTTTCCTCAAAGCTGAAAGGCTTCTGAGTAGAGAGTAAGAACATTTTCCTTTGCTCACAGCCCTGTTTCCTCTCCTTTTCTCTCAGCTCCATCATCTCATGGTAGATGGGCTGAATGATGCGGACAGGAAGAGGGACAGCAGAGAACTTCTTTTTGCACTCAGCCTCGTCCTCCTCCTCTTTGCTCTGCTGTGTTGTTTTGGATGAAGCAAATCGTTCGCAAGGCTGAGCCATAGAAAAACGATGCTTCGGGTTTAATGACAAAKCTAGAGAACTTGCGTTAGGCCTCTGTTTGTTGGACGTCTCGTCTAAAGTTCGAGCTGATTCAGAGGTGGAGCTCCTCACTTTCACAAATCTAAAAAACAGTAAATGTCTTTTAAATAAATGTATTCTAAATGTAACAAAATGAAACTTTTATTTGAGTAAACATACCTAGGATTAGGGTTCAGGTCTTTCTCATCTCCTGACTTTCCAGCTCCATTTGTGGACAAGAGAGAGTTCTGATAAATCCTTTTTTCGAGCTCCTCGGTCTGTTTCATTTTTGTCTCCTGTAACTGCTGCCCAAGGGCCTTTCTCATGGCCTTGAGATGAAGCTGGAGAAATATCTCGGATTGAAGTCCATCTGCCARCAAGGACTCAAACTTTGACATTGTTCTCTTATCTGTGATTTTAAAACAAAAGAAAAAAAACATTAGGAYAAAGTCACAAAGGTCCTGAAAGTTGGTTTTTTTACATAAAAAAGTGTTGCACTTTTTGCACAAACATTTATCCTATGTCAAATAAAAAAAATCTAAACTTAAAGGGAAAGGTCTTAATGAGTAATGAGATTACTCCAAATATACAGTAAGCCCAGGTGTGTAAAAAGTTTTGAGTTAGCCCTGATTTCTTTAYATTTTACTACAARAAACCAGACATGTTTATCGTCCTATAAAGAGAGCTTGATAAACATTTCTGTAGGGGGCTTTAAAGGCTCTCTTTACACTTTAGTTGCTATTTTACCAATTTTCCCTCTGGTACCTACCACTTTTTCAGAGGAATGCTTTTTTTGTTTTCGTTAAGCCACTTAACTTGGACCTATGAATCATTCAGGCATAAACTGTTGTTTCTAAACATACCAGGCAAGTCTGCAAAGACAAGTTTTTAATTGGAGCTTTACCTTAGATTTGTATAGAAACCTGTCACAAACACGTTATTTGTTCCTATTTCCGTAGTTAAATTTATGAACAATACTAAATATAAAGTTGTTTGCTGAAGAATGATGGGTCTGGCTGGTCTTGTGTTAGAAAGGGAGTTTTAGATGTTTTTTCACTGCTTTAGATAGCTTCTGTTAGGGATGTCCCGATCCGATACTCAGTATCGGTATCGGTTGCAGATATGGCCATTTTTTGAAAATCGGGTAGAATCAGATTTAGTCATGTGATCGGGCCGATCCAGTTTTCGCGACAGTTTTCAGCATCATCATGCTTTACAACTGCCGTTAAGAAGTCAAGACGCACACGAGTATACAACCATGTCCACAGTGTGGGAACACTTTTCAATGGAAAACAATGATGCTGAAACTGCAGCTTGCAAAATCTGAAAACTGGATGTTTCTGGTAGYGGGAAAAGCAGGGCTCGCTTTAATACTACCAACCCTGTCACTTGTAAAGAAATAAAGAAATAAAGCTATTGGATCGGTATCGGAAAAACTAATCATAAAAAATATCTGATTGTATCAGGAGCTTCTGTATAACACTTGTTTTCTTTGTCCCTTAGGTGTCAACTTCCCCTACAACCTGCACAAGGTGTCATRGTCAGGTACAGTGTTGGGCAGCACTAATCTAAATATTAGTTGCACTAACCCTAAAGCACTAACTCAGTTATTTAGGTCCCCAAATTCTAAAGCACTAACGCACTGAAAAAATTTGCAAAAGCTAATTCTAAAGCACTAACATAAACCAGATGACACATGAAACATTTAGACAATATTAACAGTGTGCAGAATGTTGTCACTTAGTGCCCTTGGTGGGCCAAATGGGAGTCACCCGCAGGCCACGTTTGGCCCGCGGGCCTTGAGTTTGACACGTCACCTTGTAGATAAATGACACGCATATGAGCAAAATGTATTACAGCTTTCACTGTGAACAATAATGTTTCAATAACATTTAAATACCTCAGTTAGTGCTTCTAAATTTAGCAAGTGCTAATCCACTAATGAATTCTTAAAAAATGCAAAAGCCCTAAAGCACTAATCAGGAAATTAGTTCCCTATTAGTGCTTTAGGGGAGCTGTGCCCACCACTGGTCAGGTCCAAAGACTGGACAGAAGATTTTCAAGAAAAAAAAATCAGTTAAAGACCAAATAAAAACTTTTAAAGCCCACCAGAAAGCCTGGAAAAGTATTTATAATGCCCAAGTGACCACTAGAAATTTGAAATGAAATTTGTTTTATTACAAGTGTTAATATATTTTGAGCACGAGAGACTTTGTCACCGGTTACTAAGGCAACAACGCACTATACGGTCGCTTCTACGTCGTTGCCGTCAGCTAAGCTAAGTTTCTCTGTTTTATTTTACAATAAAAGAGCAAGCATTTTCTACCCTTTTCTGACGCTTCCACGCAGATAATCGGCGTTTAACTCGGGAAAAATTAAACTCGAAAARCACAACGAGCTGCAAACCTGGAAATAGACGAGAGAGCGTCTTTACGGAGTCAAAGATTCATCCAAACTCTTAAATTATCACAGCCCAACTGTTTAACTACATACTGAGTTAGCTGTTGATGTAAAGAAGTTTTGCTCGAAGCGAAACACATCCGTGCTTCGGCGGCGTTAGCGCTGTTTGTGGACAGACGGTGTACCAGCAACAACCGGACGTCAGAAACGRAGTCGACTGTGATTGGACATTAAACCGGAAGTAGTTCCTGAGCAGCGCTAGCGCTCATGTCAACACAACATGGTTGAATTCCGAAAGGGGCACAGCTGCTCCTATTAGGACAAATTCAAGGGGAACTGTGYGCTCGAGTGCTGTGTGAGAGCCTTCAGACTCCGAAGCTGGACTGGTTTCTTCTGTTTTAGTTGTTTCATGTGAGAAAAGACTCCAGACAGATAATGCACAAGCTCACAAAGGCGCCGCTGGTCCTGAACGGGCTTGGACGATGTTTATTAGCAGAAAAACACTTATCTGCTGTAAATATCAGAAGAGGATTTGCGTGTGCAGAACATAAAAGGGATTCAGGCAGTAATGAGGTTTATGATGTGATTATATCTGGTGGAGGGATGGTTGGATCTGCTATGGCATGTTCTTTGGGTGAGTGAACTACAAAAAAATTTGACCAACGCTTGAAAAAGKCCTATTATGCTCTATAATGTCTGTACTATTATTATCATACATCTTGTAGCTTCTATGCGGTCACGTTGACAGAGTATCTGTTTCTCATAGGTATGGAGCCCAACCTGGAAGGAAAGAAGATTTTGCTCCTTGAAGCTGGCCACAAGAAATCAATGGACAAGGTGCCTGACACCTACAGCACCAGAGTCAGCTCCATCAGCCCAGGCTCTGCCACTCTCCTCAGCGGTACAGTACACTGTCTGACACAAGGAGACAGCTTTATCAAATTGTTTATTTTAAAAAAAAAGTTGTCCTCGAGTCGTTGCTTGATAAGTTAGTGGTTTGTGTGACCTTCAATGGCCTCACATGGTAAATTAGGTCATATCTGAATCAGTGTGTGACAGACTTCCTGTTTTATTTTTTTTTTTTTTGTGTGTGTGTGTGTGTGTTAAATTAGGTCATATCTGAATCAGTGTGTGACAGACTTCCTGTTTTATTTTTTTTTATTTTTTGTTGAATCTTTCCTGTCTGGGATAACGAGTGTTAGGGCTTTAGGTTTGTTAATGCAGTGGTTTTTCAAACCTTTTAGCTTTCGGCCCACAAAATAACTGTGACCGCATATACAGTTGTCTTCAAAATTATTCAACCTCCGCTACAGTAAAGTGTTTTAGCAAGTTTGACGTTTATTTTTTTATCTTGTTCACAATCAGGTCAAAGAAGGACTTTAATAATAAACAAATAAATTACATCAATATCTTTTCARGTATACCAACAAATGTCCTTTTAGTAATWTCCTCATTGACAMAATTATTCAACCCTTTTGTCACRTACATCATTARKACTTAGTACAACTCCCTTTGGCAGYAATAACGCCCTTCAGACGTGAAACATRTAGCTTGACACAAGTTTCTTGCAGCAATCTAAAGCTATTTTAGCCCATTCCTCATGGGCAAAGACCTCTAGTTCATTGGCATTCTTGGGCTTGTGTGACGCAACTGCCTTCTTCAAGTCCCACCAGAGATKTTTTATGGGATTTAAGTCAGGTGATTGTGAAGGCCACTCCAGAATCTTCCAACCCTTCTTCTGCAACCAAGCCCTGGTASAATTTGAGGTATGCTTGGGATCATTGTCTTTTTGGAAGGTYCAATGTCTCCCAAGCTTCAGCTTTGTCACTGACTGCATGACATTTTCACCCAAGATCTCCTGGTATTTAASTGAATTCATGATAYCTTGCACACAGTGTAGATTCCCTGTACCAGAAGAGGGGAAACGGCCCCAGAGCACGACTGACCCACCGCCATGCTTCACAGTAGGCACGGTGTTSTTTTCTTTATAGGACTCATTCTTCCTCCTCCAAACATATCTTTGAGCCATAGGCCCAAAGAGTTCCCATTTTGKCTCGTCGCTCCAGAGTACAYTGTCCTAAAACCTTTGTGGTTTGTCCACATGRTTTTTGGCATACTGGAGYRGACTCTTCTTGTCCTTTGGAGTCAACAGAGGGGTGTGTCTGGCAGTTCTGGCATGGAGGCCTTCACCTCACAGTGTTTGTGTGGGCCGAAACATGAGTGCTCTCTGACAAGTCCTGTTGCAGTGCCTCAGGAGTGTCGCAGTGTCATATGGGGATTTTTTTTTTCCACCTTTTGTTTCAGGTAACAGACAGCAGTCAATGACACCAAMCTCTTTCTGCCATGCCCAGGTAGCGTTTGCACTGTGCCTTTAGCTTTAAACTTGCGAATTATGCTTCCAATTGTGTCTTTTGGAATGTTTAATGTCTTCGCTATCTTTTCATATCCATATCCTTGCTYATGAAGAGGATACATGTAATTTGATTTGACCTCCTCTCTTGATTTCTTTGACCATTCCCTGGACTTCACCATGTTGCAAAGACWCTATTAACTGTGTAGAAGGAGCTGAGTATCTCAGTCCTTTTAAATCAACTTAATTGCTGCTCATTATGGCTCTGTTCACATCTGCAGGTGCTTTCGATGTCTGACTGAAGACACCTGATTGGGACCTCTGTTCTTGAGAGTGGTCATTTTTAAGGGGTTGAATAATTTTGTCACTGAAGAAATCAAAAAAAGGATTGTTTATATACTAGAAATAATATTGTTGTAATTTAAGTTGCATTTGTTTATTATTAAAGTCCTTC